GTATTCTGTGAGAGCGTGGTCTTTCCCCGGTCGAGCCGACCCATTCGTGTTACAACTATACCAGAAATATAGCTGCAGCATGGCTCTACCACGTATAAAACTTAACACTTTAACGTTTAAAACTTTACGAAATTTTAATCGATACTAATATATAACCGTAAAGAGTTTGTCGTATGTTTGAACGCGCTAATATCTAATATATTTGTAACTGATTAGTTCTTCAATGTAAATACCTCTTTTTGCTTTAGATAGCACGTTTTTGGTGAACTTTATTCATTAGTTTAAATTTTTTAACTTATCAAAGCTGTTTTGATAATTTTTCGAAGATTGACGTTAAAGGTTGCTACTTGCTACCTATTATTATAGTGTATGAAGAAAAGCAAAACCATAGAAACTAACAAAGCCTGGATATTTTAGAAAAATTCTTCTACTTCTCTCTTCTTTTATTTTCCTTCTTTTTAATTGCTTCTACCGAGACCAGACATTAGAGAAGGATAGGCTTATGTTTTTGAGTAAGAATTATTAATGAAAATATAATTACTGACACCGAAATTCAGATAAGAATGAGATAAACTAAAATCCTGGTAGAGAATGCCATATTATAGTATTAAGCTCGCCTTTTGTACAAATATTTGGTGCAATAAAGAATAAATAAATAAACATCCCTCTATTTTTGGAGGGTTTGCTTACAAGTTAAACATGCAAAATTAATTAAATAATGATGCAATAGTCGACATAACAACTATATAAAACGATATATAGATTATTTCTAAATAAGAAAAGGAGCAGTATATTATGATAATGTTTTAGTTGAACTAATCGGTATAAATGTGACCATTATTTTCAACATTCAAGTAATTTAAAAAAAAATTGCCCAGAAGTTCAACTATTTGAACGCGCGGTTGAACTAATTGGATCTGGCCCCTCTTTTAGTGTTGTTGCCGGGTCGAAACCGACAATAAAACTTACTATTCCACTGGGCAAGATATATATATATATATATATATATATATATATATATATATATATAGCTAGATATATAGAATATAGCTAGCTATATATAACCGTGTTTTGTGTCAATCTATGAGGAAGACTTCTGTCCAGATGGAACGTTGGTTACGATTAAAAAAGAAATGTTCTAGAAAAACAATGAAATCGACTAGAAAGCGCAGAGAATACTAAAAGCTCAAACAAGTTGATTGTTTATGGCATCTCATGCATGAATGATAGACTACATCGAGTGCGGGAACCTTCTGCACTTGACCGAGTTTCATTATGCATTTTTACGTTGAAGGATTTTCGACGATTAAGTTCTGGAGCAAGCATTTCACAGAAACAGAAGCAGAATTTTTTTAAAAGTCAATATAGTTTATAAATAATGTTCATTGAAATCAACACTTTTGTTTGTTTACCAATGGTTCCAATTTTTAAATAAGTCACATCGCCAAAATACGCTCAATAAAATCCTTAACAATCATACTAACCACCTCATATCAGTGTTCCATAACTTTGTAGTGTTAAAGTTGATTAGGAATGGGTCGATCGAAATAGCTTATGCTGAACGTAGACCCTTTTGCTGCGTCTCACTGCAACGCATGCTATGAATGTTAATTTGTTCAAAAATTATATTCTGGCTTTGTTCGTTGCAGTAACTAGGGTTAGGTTAAAATAGGGTACAGGGTTTCCGCCTTACCTGAGAACGTTGTGGGGGGGGGGGGGGGCGAGGGGGCCTCGAATGTGTGCTTTCCCGTGATCCTGTCAATATGCGACGAAGGTGGCATACCCTAGGTTTTTAGTCGGTGCGAGTCCGACATAACCCGTCCTTACCCCCGCGAAGCGAGTATGCGTAGGCATTTCTCAATGTAAAATAAAAGCGGCCAAGTGCGAGTAGGACTCGCCCATGAAGGGTTCCGTAGCAGCAAGTAACATAATTTATATATTATAGGGGGGGGGGGGGGGGGAACATTTGACTTTGGAAGTGTCTCTCGCGCAAAATATTCAGTTTAGAAAAAATGATATAAGAAACCTCAATATCATTTTTGTAGTCCTATCCATAGATGGGGTATATATCCATATATATACACGTATGGGTTTGATGAAAAAAGGTTCTAAGTATGGGGAACCTCAAAATTTTTTTTTCTATTTTTGTGTGAAAATCTTAATGCGGTTCACAGAATATCTACTTACCAAGTTTCAACAGCATAGTTCTTATAGTTTCTAAAAAAAGTGGCTGTGACATACGGACGGACAGACAGACATACATGATGAATCCATAAGGGTTCCGTTTTTTGCCATTTGGCTACGGAACCCTAAAAAAAGGTACAAGGTTTCTCAAACTGGGGTATGAAAACCCCAGGAGTTCGCCAGGGGATCGCAGGCGGTTCTCGAAAAGGTTTACGTTATGGCCCTGACTGGCTGATTCACGCGTGCTCCACGCACGTTTATACACGATTTTATATTGTTTTATTTTATGGTACACGTGTGGTTAAAAAACTGCGGTTGCCAACCCGCTCGCCAAGCGTGGCAACTATGGCAATATACCCCCCATAATGAAAGTTACGAAGATACGGCCCCCAGTCCCCGGCGGCCCCGCTATTCCTGGCTACGGTGGCGACCATGGTAACGGCGGGGCAGGGGGTGCTAAGAATCTCCGGTGGAGGTTCGGTTGCCACCTAAGACGACTCGACCTGGCAACATACAACGCACGCACCCTGAGGACTGACGAGGAGATTGTGGAGCTGGAAGAAGAGATAGACAAGTTACGCTGGCATATTATAGGATTATCCGAAGTCCGAAGAGAGGGGGAGGACACGGTAATCCTCGAATCCGGCAACTTGCTCTATTACCGGGAGGGCGACCATCTGTCCCAAGGAGGTGTCGGATTTATCATCCACAAGTCTCTAGTTAACAACGTTGTAAAGATTGAGAGTGTGTCGACGAGGGTTGCGTACCTTATACTCAGAATCACCAAACGGTATTCGCTGAAGGTCATACAGGTTTACGCACCAACCTCGGCACACCCCGATCAGGAGGTGGAGGAAATGTATGAGGATATCTCTAGAGCCATGCTTTCCTCCAAAACCCAATATACGGTGTTAATGGGAGACTTCAATGCAAAACTAGGCACAAGAGAGAACGGTGAGCTGAAAGTGGGGAAATTTGGAATAGGGCAACGGAACTCAAGGGGCCAGCAGTTGGCTAACTTCATGGAGAAAGAGGGACTCTTTATGATGAACTCTTTCTTCCAGAAGCGGCCCCTCAGGAAGTGGACCTGGTCGAGCCCCGACGGTTCGACAAAAAATGAGATTGACTTCATTATGACGACCAGACGACAACTGTTCAGTGATGTCTCAGTGATCGCGAGGGTGAAAACCGGCAGCGATCACCGAATGGTTAGAGGCACACTGAACCTAAACGTTAAGTTGGAGAGGTCTCGTCTAATGAAGTCAACGCTCCGTCCCCCTCGTGCTCTAATCCAAAGTCCCGAAACCTTTCAGCTCGAGTTGCAAAACCGTTTTCAGTGCCTAGAAGACTGCAATGAAGTGGACGATTTGAATGACAAACTCGTGGAAACTGTCCATGCGGTCGGAGCTAAGTTCTGCAAGACCCGCCGCAGAAGAACACAAAAACTCTCCGATCACACTCTTAATCTCATGGCTGTTAGACGGGAGATGAAGCTACATTCTTCAACAGATTTGACAGCATACAGGTAACTGAATAGACAGATTTCCAAATGCATGCGGCGGGACTTACGCAACTTCAATACAGCTCGTATTGAAGAAGCGATCGAGCGGAACCAAGGCTCCAAAGTCTTTGCCAGAGATCTGTCTGCCAGAAAGAGCCAACTGTCAAAGCTGAAGACCGAATGTGACAGCATCGTTTCCGGGGCACCTGAGATTTTGAGTGAGATTGAGAGGTTCTATGGGCAGCTGTACACATCATCGTTGGAGCCACACGCAAGTGTGAGTAACGATCCAAGAGCGAGTCTCATCCGACATTATTCCGATGATATCCCGGACGTCAGTCTGAGCGAGATTAGAATGGCTCTCCAGCACCTTAAAAACGGCAAGGCCCCAGGCCAGGATGGAATTACAGCGGAGCTTCTGAAAGCGGGTGGAAAACCGGTACTTGAAGTCCTTCAGAAGCTCTTTAATTCCGTCCTCCATGGTGGCATTACACCGGAGGCGTGGAGCAGAAGTGCGGTGGTCTTGTTCTTCAAGAAAGGCGACAACGCTCTCTTGAAGAACTACAGACCGATTTCCCTTCTGAGCCGCGTCTACGTGCTGTTTTCGAGAGTCATTACGAATCGTCTCGCGCGCAGACTTGACGACTTCCAGCCTCCCGAACAAGCCGGTTTCCGAAAAGGCTTTAGCACCATAGACCACATACATACCCTTCGGCAAATTGTACAGAAGTCCGAGGAGTACAATTTGCCACTATGTCTGGCGTATGTGGACTATGAGAAAGCCTTTGATTCCGTCGAAATTTGGGCGGTGCTGCAGTCCCTTCAGCGATGCCAAGTTGACTGTCGGTATATCGAAGTGTTGAAGTGCTTGTACAGTAGGGCTACGATGGCTATCCGAGTACAGAACCAGAGTACGAAACCTATCCAATTGCAGAGAGGTGTAAGACAGGGTGACGTCATATCCCCGAAACTCTTTACCGCTGCATTGGAAGATGTTTTCAAGCTTCTGGACTGGAAAGGATACGGTATCAACATCAATGGCGAGTACATCACTCACCTTCGATTTGCCGACGATATAGTCCTTATGGCAGAATCGCTGGAGGACCTAAGCACTATGCTCAATGACCTCAATAGTGTTTCCCAACGGATAGGTCTTAAGATGAACATGGACAAAACAAAGATCATGTTTAATGTCCATGTCACACCTATGCCGGTAGTTGTTGGGAACACTAAGCTCGAAGTTGTTGACGAGTATGTTTACCTGGGACAAATAGTCCGACTAGGTAAGTCCAACAAATTCTGTCAAATCTATTCTTTACATGTTTGCCTTTTTAGTCCCAAATACCGTCTCATAGATTATTATGATATTAACTATAAACCAATACATATTCTCATGTATTGGTTTATAGTTACTTATACATACCTTCTGAATATCGAAACCTTGGACACCTGTAATGTCTTCACATTGTCCTCTAAACACTGGTGCTTGGTCAGGGATAACTTCAGGTACGTAGAAGCAGGTTTCGTCAGATTGGTCACTGGTTATGTAATATTCTTCTAGTAGACCTCGTGTATTACTTATGATGTTGTTCATTATGTTATTTGCCTGGTTGCTGAGGGTCCGAGTTCTGCTAAGCTTCCAGCTGCTTACTGTTAGATAAAAATAATTAATTACAGTGGACTCGAAAAATCTTTTAAAATTTGCCAATAGTTACTAAATTAAATAGTATTATGAATCAAATATAAAAAATACAACAGCATTTAATACCTTGTCTATTTCCATCAGGGAGGTTTCGGCAACTATACACCAAGGAGTAGCTAATGTAGTCGGTTTCGAGAATGTAATAGTTGGCAACATTAACGACTGAAACAAAAAAATACTTTGCTGATTTACTTGCGTCTGCAGATTTTCAATCACTTTGCCTATACATCGACTGCAGTTATATAAAAATTCTCGGTCTCTGTTTGAATACTTACGTGAACGTCATACTAATATAATGTGATACTCGCATTAGTTTATAATTGTTTTTAATTTAATAAGATATTTTATTATATTAATAGAAGTTTAATACCGACCTCCATTGGCTAATACAAATGTTACATTCAATATTCCACTTCCATCATTTGAAGCTACAAAGGCTGATCCGATCATTGTATCCAAGGTGTTATTGATAACTTCTGTATTGACAACTTCAACGCTACCGTTGACGAGATTGTATTGCGCTCGACTACATTCTCCAAATTGGTATAGTTGAGGATAGCGAGCGATTTCGATCCATCTTCCGAGATACTATACATTCAGAAAAAAAATCTATATTAAAATTAAATCATAGATAAGTAATAATATGTGGCTGAATGTAAATATTTCATAGCCTCTTTACATGAATTACTAAAATAAAACCTAAATAAAATAAAGCCCCACGCGCACGTGTGAGGAGACACCGGGGTGGTTTTAGCCGGTAAGAGTCCGGCACGCCCCTCCGCCTTTCCCCAGGCGGAGGTAGTCCATGAGGATTTCCCCCCGTAAAAAAAAAAAAAAATGTAAGTCCAACTTCGACCGAGAGGTCAATCGACGGATTCAACTCGGTTGGGCAGCGTTCGGGAAATTACGGCACATCTTCTCGTCAGGTATACCTCAAAACCTTAAAACGAGACTGTACACCCAGTGCGTGTTGCCAGTGATAACATACGGAACTGAGACGTGGTCCTTCACTGCTGGCCGGATGAGGAAGCTTAAGGTCGCTCAGCGAGCTATGGAGAGGGCTATGCTCGGAGTTTCTCTGCGTGATAAACTCAGAAATGAGGATATCCGCAGTAGAACCAGAGTGACCGACATGGCCCAACGGATTAGTAAGCTGAAGTGGCAATGGGCCGGCCATATAGCTCGAAGAGCCGACAACCGATGGGGAAGAAAGGTTCTCGAGTGGCAGCCTCGTACCGGCAGGCGAAGTGTAGGGCGTCCCCCCACTAGATGGAGTGACGACCTGGTAAGATATGCAGGAAGTCGATGGATGCAGGTGGCTCAGGACCGTGCTTTGTGGCATTCTTTGGGGGAGGCCTATGTTCAGCAGTGGACTTGTGAAGGGCTGTGATGATGATGATGATGTGTGGTGAACCACCACCGCATTTACTTGCGGCTGTGATGTGACATAATTTCAGTGGTACAGCGCCTGCAGCGCTGTGAGTAATTTACTTGCTATTTGGTCACCATTACACTTATAAAAACTTATTGCTCTTTGTGAGTGTATATTATAGTATCAAAAATTTTTTCGTCTTTAAGCAGTGTTGGGGGGTTCGCTATCGCTTGTGAAATTTAATTGCACAGTCTAAAAGTTTGAGAAAGAACTATCTGTACTGCTCTTAGCTTGGTAAATGTAAATATTATGTGTGTAATGGCACATCTCATAAAGTCGCTTGTATGAGTAACAAATAAAGTTTCTTTCTTTCTTACTTTATACACAAATATTGTAATTTATGACTGTAACAGCTCAAAGGATAAGTGCCTTACAATATGTAGGTACCTAATAATACGCAAGCAAACCGATTTCTATCCTCGTAGTCACCAATGCTGTCTAATAATGGGGGGTTTTGGCGGGAACTTGACCGGCGGCGGTTTGCAGCTCCTGTTTTATTGTTTAAATAATGGTTTGAAGTGGACTTTGATATGTAAAAGTGGTGCTATTTTAAGTGTCTGCGCATGTGATTTATTAGTGGAAACTGTGAAACAAGTGCTCTGATGGTGATGTGATTCTCAAAATAATGTGTCTGTCTGCTTAGGCGCCTTGAGACCTTACCTTGTTACCATTAAAATCTCCCAAGGGCTGCACAATGTGACGCATCAACATATTGTGAAGCAGTATACTATGAAGAATAATTATTATAATATAATATTATAACTTCAGGCTCAGAAGGGCTAGATCCCAGAGTCGTAAAGCCAACTATTAAGAAGAAGACTAATAATGGCGGCGTAAGATAATCCGTCATTCCATTGCATCCTCTTTGTATCTTATGAGGCGACTGTGAGATATGTCAGAAAAATCTTTTCGTTGTCTTAATAGCGTATAATTACTTACTTTACGTGAAACGTAAAATGATTAACAAAATCAGGCGTCACTTTGCGGAAATCAATTAGAAGAGTAGCCAAATTTTAAACTTAAGTTCAAATATATAAACAATGATATTATGATATATATTATTGCAGTTTTTGAAAATATGAGGGAGTCTCTGAGAGATGACTAGATATCTGCGACATTTGCTGTAGAGACTATCGGTCCGTGGGGCCACGTGCGGTGAAGTTCCTAAAGGAACTCCATCCGCGGTTGGTCGTTGCTGATGGTGATAAGAGGGCTGGTTCTTTTCTCGCTCAAAGGCTAAGTATAGCCAATCAGCGAGGAAACTCAGCCAGCTTTCTTAGCACGATACCGCTGGGAGTAGGACTGTATGATAATTAAGTTACTAGTTTTAGTTTTTATAATAAAATATTCTATATTAAAAAAATATGAGTAAATAAAGCTTCTACTATTATTTGAAATTATCCCAAATTTAATGTGATTTATCGGAAATAACGTTTTTGCCTACCAATCGACCGTTACGAATGTGTATGTGCGCAGTCAAATCAGTTAAAATCATGCATTACCACGTATTTTGATTTAAAAAAATTAAAATGACAGAATGTTAGAGATTTTTTTTAATTAATTTTTCTTCACCATTTGGCTATATTACTTATTCTGAACCTTATCTGCAAATTTGGCCCATGACAAAGACAAGCTTTTTTATGCGAAAATCGTTAATACTGACCCGTGCCACGGTTAGCAAAATCGCCACCTCTGTATCAATGTCTTTATGTCTGTTTGTCATAGTATTCTCTTTAATTCACAGAGACTATTGGAAACAAATGATTTAAAATTGGCCTTTATACCTTTTCCACGCGGGTCTAGGCTAATTAATTTTAACATCTTTTAAAATAAAAATGATTAGGCCAAAAACTTACTAGCGGCGGGCCGTGATGCAACGTGCCGTTGCGGCAGGCCGCAGTATATACGGTCGGCCGCAGCGCCACGCCGTATTCCGGCTAACCGCATCGTCTCGGTTCTATTGCGGTCCGTCGCAATCGTCAGTGCTTCGAAAAACATTGGACATAATGGACATCGAAGAAGTTGCTGCAGTTATTTATTTATATCTATTCTAATTTAAATCGATCGGAAATTTTTCTTTAAACGAATCAACTTACCTAGCTAACCGCGCTAAGTGCGTGGAGCGGCTGCAACGCGCCGCATCATTCAACCGGTGCGGTTGACGGCAGACCGCAAGTCAGTGCGTGGAGATCATGCGTGCATGCGACTCACCTGATGGATTTTTTTATGGGAGAAGGGGCAAACGAGCAGACAGTCCACCTAATGGTAAGTGGTTGCTGTGGCCCATAGACATCTACATCTATCATCGATTACGAATAAAAATTCAGATGCGTTGTCACCCGTGAGGACTAAGACAGAGTGCGTCGTTTCCAGTAAAACGGATCTCCTGTCCTCTACACTCACCATAAGCACATTCGTGCTACAACTACACTACTAATATAGCTGCAGCATGGCTCTACCACGTAAAACGTAACGACGTACGTAACGAGTATGATTTAAACTAGTAGCCCGCAGAGATGGAATTCAATCCTCGGCCAGTACGCCAACCAGCCGTCAACCACAAACATCTGTTCGTAAGTTATCTAAACAGGGTTTTGTATTATAAATGCGTATCATGCATTTTTACACTAGAACGAGTTATAGGAGAAAACGAGACGTGTTTTTAGTAGCGACATATTTTTTTTTTGCGATCAAATTAAGCAATTGCTAACATATTCGTACGTTAGTGGGAAAGTCATTGGTGCAATATCAAATTGACAAATCTGCATTTTGATTCTTAATCGAGTATAAATGTAGATAGTTATGGGCAACAGTATTCACTTAATTTATAAAAAGTTTAATTTATTTAATTTTCGGCGGCCGGCGTCCACGTGCGGTGAAGTTCCTAAAGGAACTCCATCTGCGGTTGGTCGTTACTGCTGGTGATAAGAGGGCTGGTTCTTTTCTCGCTCAAAGGCTAAGTATAGCCATTCAGCGAGGAATTCAGCCAGCTTTCTTGGCACGATACCGCGGGGAGTAGGACTGTATGATAATTAAGATACTAGGTTTAGTTTTTATAATAAAATATTGTATATTAAAAAATATGAGTAAATAAAGCTTCTACTATTATTTGAAATTATCCCAAATTTAATGTGATTTATGGGAAATAACGTTTTTGCCTACCAATCGACCGTTACGAATGTGTATGTGCGTAGTAAAATCAGTTAAAATCATGCATTACCACGTATTTTGAATATAAAAAATAAAAATGACAGAATGTTTAAGATTTTTTTTAATTAATTTATCTTCACCATTTGCCTATATTATTCTGAACCTTATCTGCAAATTTGGCCCATGACAAAGACGAGCTTTTTATGCGAACATCGTTAATACTGGCCCGTGCCAAAATTAGCAAAATTGTATCAATTGTAGAGCCACCTCTATGTCAATGTCTTTATGTCTGTTTGTCATAGTATTCTCTTTAATTCTCAGAGACTATTGGAAACAAATGATTTAAAATTGGCCTTTATACCTTTTCCACGCGGGTCTAGGCTAATTAATTTTAACATTTTTTAAAATAAAAATGATTAGGCCAAAAACTTACTAGCGGCGGGCCGTGATGCAACGTGCCGTTGCGGCAGGCCGCAGTATATACGGTCGGCCGCAGCGCCACGCCGTATTCCGGCTAACCGCATCGTCTCGGTTCTATTGCGGTCCATCGCAATCGTCAGTGCTTCGAAAAACATTGGACATAATGGACATCGAAGAAGTTGCTGCAGTTATTTATTTATATCTATTCTAATTTAAATCGATCGGAAATTTTTCTTTAAACGAATCAACTTACCTAGCTAACTGCGCTAAGTGCGTGGAGCGGCTGCAACGCGCCGCATCATTCAACCGGTGCGGTTGACGGCAGACCGCAAGTCAGTGCGTGGAGATCATGCGTGCATGCGACTCACCTGATGGATTTTTTTATGGGAGAAGGGGCAAACGAGCAGACAGTCCACCTAATGGTAAGTGGTTGCTGTGGCCCATAGAC